GCTTGAAATCAGGCAATGACAACCAAATCCGATTAGTCCAATTCATGCAGTTCGTTCCCTTCTTTCTTTTTCTGCCAGAAAAAGTAGACCAGCGTCCTCTTTAACTTATCGACAGTTCAAGGAGGGTAGTCTGCGATTTTTGTTCCATTTCAGGAAAGATCTTAATTCTTTAAATAAAGATACACTTTTAAAAGAACAACTGAAACGTCCATTTTATCTTTTGTTTAATCACGTATAAATGATATCTTACATTTCTGTTTCTTACAATCGCAATCCGCTATCATAACTAAACATACTAGATACTATATACAAAGTGGCACAGGTAGGGTGGGGTGGGGGTTACGAGTGCATGGAGTCGCAAGATGAGCTGTGGGAAAAATCTCATACAACCGAAGCTAGCAGATAATGAGTGAAATGTCCCCGACAGGAGAAACGTTAGACTTTGTTCTAGGAGTTAGCCCAAGTTCAAATGACGTCTCAAATCACGTGATCGTTCAAGACCGAAAAAACTGAACACCAGACAGATCACGTGTTTTTACAGTCCCATGCAGCGTTTCTGATTGGTTCTTTAATTCTCGTGCGCAAGTAACGACCAATCAGAAAGGAAAGGGATTTCTGTAGAGTTACGTCATCAGTATGGAATGTTTGAGGCCCAGTCCCAGATCTCTCTCAAGGGGAGAAAGAATTGAGTCCAGGCAGGCACCTGTTGTTTACTCAAAGTAGTTGAAAGGGAGCTTAGCAGAGTCAAAGTGAAGTAAGATGTCACGCAGGGTTTACTCCAAGCTTATTCTATTGGCGCGCTGATCTCCTTACGTAACAAAGCAATCAAATCTTAAGCCTTTATTTGCGGTGTCACGCAACGGTTTCCTCGGAAAATCGCTTCGTGACCATCGAAATAATTACTTCAAAGTTGCTCACACTTTCCATTTCACAGCCAATAAATATTCTAGTACCTAGGTATAAAGGAAGTTAAGAGGAATCCAACACCAGCCGATTCATTTGATAAACCGTAAAAGAAGTCTCTCTTTTCTTTAAAGTAATAAGCATTTCCATTCTCCATTTTGAAGAGCAATAGTGCGATGATCCTCCATGTTGAACTGTTACACCATTAATACGATGTTGAAGTGCTCTGTTTTGCAATTCACATTTTATATAAAAATACTGTCTGCGGTGTTTATCGCTATAAAATGACTACTTTTATTGGCTTTTCTTCTTGGGATTTCGTTTGTTCATCTGCTTTTGAATTATTTCCATGACGCGCTGCCTGTGATCCAGCACCTGAAGGAAAAAGAAAGAACAATTACAGTGGAACCCCGCCACCCTGTTAATACGGTCACCTTGTTATTACGGCTACTTTACTCTGGCCCGGAAAAAAGCTCAGTCAGTCATTTTTTTTCTATTTACAGAACCCCTTTAATATAGCCACCCCGTTAATGCGACCAGATTTTTGTGGCCCGTTGGTGACCGGATTAACAGGGTTCCACTGTAGTTTCGAGACCAAGTCTTCATTTATGAACGGTAATCAACAGTATTCTAGACAGTGTCTCTTCTCGCGCGCTCAAAAAAAATTTCTGCGCTCGAAAGTCTGGGAACGAGTCAAACATTCCGTTCTGATGAGGTAATTCTCGTCGTGTCTGTGATTGGTTGTTGCTGAGTTTTGAATAATCCCGCGCAAAAAACAACCAATTAGATACGTTGTTTTCTCTGATATGTTCAATACCGTCGATTTAGGACTGAACTTCTGAAACATCCTTATCTAATCCTTCCCCGCTGATAGCATTAGAAATAGCACGATAAACAACAGAAATGATACTCAGGAAAGTAAAGACGTTTCTTCTTACTTTGACCATAGATTTTCTTGAGTCTCCAAGCTGCTCAACAACCAGCTGTGATCTTTGAATATTACCCTGTAAAAAAAAAAAAGAAAAACAATTTTCTTCACAAGATCAAGAATATTGAAACGATTATGAATAACTGAGCTCAAATGAACAGATGTTGGGGGACAACTTCCGGTGTTCGAAGCTCAATTGACTTCCGGTTTAAAATTGACGGACCGTTCCAGTGTTTGAAATCCTCACCTGAAGAAGTTCGTTTAACATCACTAAATCATCCTGGAATTTTGTTTTCTGTCCAGGTTTAACCTTCGGGATTTTCTCTCTGAGTTCTCCCATCTTTTTCAGCACTTCTTGTTCAGCAGAGATCTGAAAAGTGTAAAAATGTAAGGTTAGGTTAAAGTTTCAATGGCCCAAAGGAGATTCTCGACCCAGTTTCCCTCTTACCAGCTCATCCACTTGCCCGGCAATGTGTTGGACCCGCCAGCCGTTTGCTCTCTGTACAATTCCCTTCTGACTGGCTATCTCTTGTATTGAGGGCTTTCTCTCCTCTGAAGAACAACAAATACAAACCGTAAATTCAGATATCAAACGGAGTAAAAATTCCCTGGGGTAACTTTTGCTAAAAGGCAATTTTTGGGACTTATTTCGGGAGAAAGTGAAGGGAGAGGGGGTAGTGAGGGAAGGGCGGGAGTAAGGGGAAATGGGGCGTATCGTTGGGCGCTTTGCGTCTGAACTAAAGCGAGAAAAAAACTCGTGACGGCATTTCTTTACTCTTACGTAACGGTCTCTAAAGTGTAAATTGTACTTAGCTGCCCCTGACCTTTGACCTTGACATCAGAATACCGCTGGAAATGATTATGAGCCGCCTTTGTATTTATCTTGTAGTTAGCAACGATGGAGATCTTCGGTCTTTTCCGTAATATGAACTTCAAATCCTCGTCTGCTGTTAGAAACAAAATGAGAAATATTCACTTAAAGCATTCAGTGCAAAGAATTATTTGACAAGGATAAAATTTTGTCCAAAAGGGCAAGAACGCAAAACTCTTAGGAATCAAAACAGCGTTAACCGTGTCAAGGTTCTGTGTAATGTAAGTCGGCGCATTTTGTTGAAAGTAATGACGCCATTGCAAATTAGATCATTTTGATTGGGGGAATCACGACCATACATAGAGTTTATCAGGAACTGGAAAGTACAATGTTGATGAATTTGAGCACGGAGTGATTAGGTCAGGAAGTAAATTATTTTACCTTCATCTTGTTTCGCTTTCTTATCTTCGTCTGTCGGCGAATCGGGTTCCATGTTGACATTACTGCCATACTTGTCTTCTGTGGCGACCCTGAAAACAGGAGCATCCAAGATTTACGAGAAGTTAAAAATCGTACCAAGATTATAAAAAAACCAACAATAATGCTTTGATTTTGTAGGGGAAAGCTCCATAGATGAGACAAACCCATCAAGAAGTGACAACGGGTAACGTTCGCGAGGATGGTAATGGTCAGAATTAAAATGCGACGCTCGTGTTTTTACGTTTTATGAGGTTCCCTTAAAATTTGACGTAAGTCTTGTCGCAACGCAAAATCAAATCGTGAAAATATTGCTTTCAATGTTTGAGTAGAGTTTATAAAATTAGATAGAGTAACGGTTCAGTACATGCACTTTTTTACAGTCTTTGGAACAGAAGAGAAACAAAACGCCGAACAAATTGTCTCTCTTTCTTCTTCTCAAAGATTAAACTAATTCTAACTTCTCTCAATAAAGAACCACAGAATAGAACTGAACAGTCATTCGAACAAGCGGAAAACCGTCGCTTGAGCAGTCCTAGGATTTCCGAATCTTCTGATCCAATCACAAAACAGCGCGACTAGCCGAGCGCTCACGAAGTACACCGACGACAGCTGTCACAAAAGCACACGTTATGTTACTAAGCA